GGGAGCCAGCCCCAAATGTCTGGGGATTACACAATTAGCCTAGAGGTTATAAAGCCACAACACACACACACACACACACACACACACACACACTCCATTAACAACCCTAACTGAAAATGGATGGGGTAGAAAATATACGAAAAAGAGAATTTCTGTCTTCCCTCTCTTATGCACACTCAGCAATCAGACTTGCTTTCTGGATAAAGATCACCGACTAAGCAGTGCTGTGTTAAGCCTTAAAAATGTTAACATTCAAAAGTGATAAAGATTTGCAGGAAAAAATCATATCTGAGGCATTCCTGGGGTTTTTTTTTAATAATATCTGAAGCAAGAAAGATTACAGAAAAACCATATCTAAGTTCTCAGCTGCTGAAGAGATCAAGAATATCTAAAACAACCAAAGATGCAGAAAAATATCGAACAACACTTCTTTAATTTTGTAAACGTAGTCTGTCTCTGCAGTCAGAAGGAAAGCCACTGCCTTGATACAGTCCCTTTGCTGTGTGCCCAAGACACAGAGGAGGCTGACTATTAATAACGTGCTTGTGCTGTTGTCCATTGGTCCAGGATTTGCTCCCATCACAAGACTAAACAACTGTTACTTGTCTTTTAAAAACAGATATTTACATAAAAGATATGGTCAGGAATTCTTTTCGGGCAGCTTAAAGATGTCTGACTAAGTCGCCACCTGTGGCCTCTGCTGCCTTGGTCAAAAGACTTCAAAGTGACAGAGGGAAGCGTGCAGGCCTTTTGCATGTATGCATACACAGAAGGAGATTAGCCTATTTGCAAAATCCTTTTAATTTCACCCCCTCCACACACACACACACAAACATTGCCCACCCCTTAAGGACATCTGTTAGAAATTCTGCATGGAAGCCAAGCAAGGAGACATCTTGATTGCATAAGAAGCCCCATTCCCTCGTTAGATATATTCAGCCAATTAAGGCCTGGGATTGCACACATTTCCATTTGAATGCTGTTTATCGGTTGCCATTATTTCCAGCACGTGAAGAATAGAGTTCACGACCTAGGATTCGTGTGTTGGCTGATTTTGCACATTTGTTATTAAGGAAAACTCTAATTAACGTCATTTGGAAAATTTGTCTTCTGCAAACGAAAGCGAGAGGAATGGAAACAGGAGAAGCTACGACGGCAGCACAAATGGGGTAATCACCATGCCAAATTGCTTTGAAACTGGGTTGCTTTCTTCCAAAAGCCTCCATGGGTCTGGCGAGAGCACTCTTGTTTTTCATGAATTAAGAGGAGCGGCAGGTAGTCAGTCGTCTGAGTTGCGCTGGAAATGGTGTAGAAGTGATGGCAGTGTGAATTTAATCAGGCCTAATCTTCCTTTATCACTCAAGCTCTCTGGAATAAATGCTTATTTATTCATTTGACATTTTGTGGGGTTTGCACCCATCTCGAAGGATCCAATCAGGGAAAAACAAAACCCATATCTAAAGATAAGGAGGAAAAACTATTATTATTATTTATTATATAGGGCTGAATTCTTGTAGGGTTCCATTTTATTTATTTATTTAACCATAATGTCTAATGAAGCTGGAAGATTCAGGACAGACAACAGGAAGTTCTTTGCACAACACATTGTTGTACTATGAAATTTGCAATGGAGATACAGTGGCAGCCACCAAGGTGGATGGCTTTAAAAGGGGATTAGACAAATTCACGAAGGCTATTAATGGCAGGTGGTGCTGTGGTCTAAACCACTGAGTCTAGGGATTCCTGATCGTAAGGTTGGCGGTTCAAATCCCCGCGACAGGGTGAGCTCCCGTTGTTCGGTCCCAGCTCCTGCCAACCTAGCAGTTCAAAAGCATGTCAAAGTGCAAGTAGATAAATAGGTATCACTCCAGCGGGAAGGTAAACGGCGTTTCCGTGTGTTGCTCTGGTTTCACCAGAAGCGGCTTAGTCATGCTGGCCACATGACCCGGAAAAACTGCCTGCAGACAAATGCTGGCTCCCTCAGCCAGTAAAGCGAGATGAGTGCCGCAACCCCAGAGTCGTTCGCGACTGGCCTTAACTGTCAGGGGTCCCTGTACCTTTTAGTCAATGATGGCTGGATTTTACCTCCACTGTCAGAGGCATGGCCCTATGCAGCAATTGCTGAGAATCACAAGTGGGAAGAGTACAGGTGGAACTAAACACCCAAACTAAGTAGAAGTCCTCTTTAGGTCTCAGTTTGGTGTTGCTGAAACAGTTGGAGAACTGCATTGCAAAATCGGGATAAGTGCAAGTTTTGAAGCTGTGCTTTGGTTTACATTTTGTTTTGGAAAGTGCAAATGTGATCAATCTGGCTCTAAATGTATCAAATTTATATTCATCCCTAACAACAACAACGACAACAGCATATTTTTATTTCTGTGCTGTCCATCTGACTGGGTTGCCCCAGCCACTCTGGGCAGCATCCAACAAAATATTAAAACACAAAACCCCCTCAAACATTAGAAAACCTCCCTGAGCAGGGCTACCTTCAGATGTCTTCTAAAAGTCAAATAGATATTCATTTCCTTGACATCTGAAGGTAGGGCATTCCACAGGGAGGGTGCCACTACCGAGAAGGCTCTCTGCCCAGTTCCCTGTAATCTCACTTTTCGCAATGAGGGAACCACCAGAAGGCCCTCGGAACTGGACCTCAGCTGGATCTGGGCTGAATGCTGGGGGTGGAGACACACTTTCAGGAACACAGGGCCAAGGTAATTTAGGTCTTTAAATTTTGAATTGTGCTTGGAAATGTACTGGGAACCAATGTAGATCTTTTATGATCAGTGTTATCCAGGCGGCTGCTCATGTCTGGCAGCCACATTCTGCTGCCCTATTTGGTATTTTTCTATTTGGTATTGATTATGGTCATGGCAATAGCTTTGCATGTGCAGGGGTTAATGGAGAATTTCTGCCCTCCCTCATTTGCACATCGCACATTTAAATTTGCCACATGCAGTGTGAAACACTTTGAACTAGGAAAACACAGTTCCCTTGGTGCCTAATTCCCTGTGTTTTTCAATGAAGATGTAGCAGATCAGTTCTCTTAAATTAAGTCAACCTAACCTGGAGCAAAGCATCGAGGTTGCTGCAAATGAGTCTGAGACCCAAATGACTTAAGACCGTCAAAATGAAAATGCATCCATTTTGGTCTATGGTGACATCAGAATTCCTTTCTTTTGCTTTGCAATTTACTTGATTATCTGTATAATAACTGGTTTACCCTTAGCAGCTAGCACAAATAATGAGCATGTTGATTAAGACACTCTGGAAGGGGGCCAAACGCTAATAAAATTAAGAAAGAAACTGGACACTTCAAATGAAATGGCTTGTCTGTGTAATGAGGAAAGAGAAAAGTTAAAAGAACTACCCGAAGGCGCCCCCACCCAAATGAAGTATTAGTAATCTTTATTACTGGAAACCTGGAGAATCGGAAACCAAATTGTTCTATTATTTTTCTGTAATGCTTAATTTAGCTGATAAGCCAAAGTGAGCTTTGCGGGACGGGTGAAGGGAAGAGAAATCATTTCAAGGAAGAGAGTTATTACATGAGGTGCATTGAATCTGCCCCTCAGCACCCTGATACCTTTTAGTGGAATATGGAATACTGATGAACTGGAATACTTCGCAAAGATCTGGTCCGTAGGGCCCTAGCCTCTTAACAACCTCGGCAGTCTTTGTCTCCTGCAAGAATCAGGAACACTCAGCAGTTTAGAGAATTCAAACTTTAACAAGCTCAGGAACCAGCTCATTAGAGCAGTCCTTGCCAAAGAGTGTTATTGTTACAAAATGCATGTCTGAGAAAGTGAGTCCTATTATCACAGGATCTGCTCACTTCCTATCTCAAAGATACTTAACAGCACCAGAAATACATTTCTGGGGCTAACAAGGCAACATCACCACATTTTCTGGGCAGATTGCTGAGGAACATGGCCTGTTTGTTTTTCTGGGAACCCTGAGATAAAGCAAGCAGTTGTTTTCCCTGTCCGCAGAGCATAGGATGAGAAGCAGGTGTTGTAGATTATAAGGAGGTAGGTTTATAGTCAGTTCAAAACGTATCATCGGCGCTGTGGATCTTGCTCTCAACATGAACCTGTCATTCAAAAATCAGCTCTGTGAAAAGCCAAGTCCTTTCTGTTTTTTATAAGCACACTTATGATGTCTGTTGTGATGTCATCACATCACAATGATGTCATTGCTTCCCCACCCCTGCTCCGCATCATTGGTTGCTGCTACGCAAGGAAGGCACAAGGAAATGACCTCATGATTTAGATATATATGCACAAAGAAGGGAAATAATGGCAACTCCAGGCCGCCATTTTCAAATGGCAGTTCTGTGCAAAGTGTATAATATTCTGTTTTTATTTGGACTCGGGGCTCATACTATATATATGCTCCAGGAATAAGATAGATGCACCAAAGTCTTAACAGAGTAGCAACCTCCCCCCGCCCCCCAGCTATGACACAGGTGAGAAAAGTCTTTCCCAACTTGGTGCCTTCCAGATGTGTTGGACTCGCAACTACTCTTGCAACTATGGGAGCCAGTGTGGTGTAGTGGTTAAGAGCGGTGGACTCGTAATCTGGTGAACTGGGTTCGCGTCTCCGCTCCTCCACATGCAGCTGCTGGGTGACCTTGGGCCAGTCACACTGCTCTGAAGTCTCTCAGCCTCACTCACCTCACAGAGTGTTTGTTGTGGGGGAGGAAGGGAAAGGAGAATGTTAGGCGCTTTGAGACTCCTTCGGGTAGTGATAAAGCGGGATATCAAATCCAAACTCTTCTCTTCTTCTACTCTCAGCCTCAACCAGCATGGCCAATGGCCAAGGATTATGGGACTTGTAGTCCAACACATCTGGAAGGCACTAGGTTATAGGGCTCATCCATTTAAGGAGGGAATCCTTGGTCAGTAGCAGGCCATCATTGCCCCACTTATGAGGAGAAGGCCTAATTGCACATTTTGGTGCATTCATAGGGCCCTTTTGCACTGCCACCAGATAAATATATGGATGCAGGTGTGTGTGTGTGTGTGTGTGCGCGCGCGCACACACACACACACACACACACACAGGCAATGGAAAACTGGGCTAGCTGGCTCAACACCATAACCACCTTAAACAGGGATGGGAAATATCAGGCCCAATGGCAAATGGCCCTCAGTAATCTCCCCAGCCAATACCCTGCTCTGTTTTGCACATTCCTTGAGTGTTTTTTCCTGGCTGGAATGCATCCTTGAACTCTCATAATACTTCTTGTTTGCCTGCATAGAGGACAGTGAGGGATGTGTGAGGGTGTTAGGGCGGGGAAAATCCAGAGGGTGTGGGAAATAGAATGCAGTAACCTACCTAGACAGGGATAGCCTAACTTCTGTGTAACCTCTAGGTTAGATTACTGCAATGTGTTATATGTGGGGCTGCCTCTGACTACATTTTGGAAACTTCAGCTGGTGCAGAATTTGATGGACAGCTTGCTCACCGGGGCAAGACGAGTTGGACATGTAACGCCAATCCTCATCCGACTGCTGCCTCTTAGTTTCCAGGCCCAATTCAAAGTTCTGGTGCTGACCTATAAAGCCTTATGTGGTTCAGAACCTCAATACCTTAAGGAGCACGTCTCCCCATACAAACCAACCCGGACCCTGCGCTTGTCATCCGAGGCCCTTCTCTGTACCCCCTCTTCTTGAGAGGTTTGGAGGGTGACAGCATGAGAACAGGCCTTTTCTGTGGTGGCTCCCTGTTTGTGGAATACACTCCCCAGAGAGGCTTGCCTGGCACCAGGGAGAAACATTCCTCTTTACCCAGGTCTTCAGCCATTAAACAATCTACAGTGGTACCTCGGTTTACATACACTTCAGGTTACAGACTCCACTAACCCAGAAATAGTGCTTCAGGTTAAGAACTTTGCTTCAGGATGAGAACGGAAATCGTGCTCCGGTGGCATAGTGGCAGCAGGAGGCCCCATTAGCTAAAGTGGTGCTTCAGGTTAAGAACAGTTTCAGGTTAAGAACGGACCTCTGGAACGAATTAAGTACTTAACCTGAGGTACCACTGTATGACATTTTAAATGCGGAGGGACTGTTACTGTGTTGTTTTTCTGGGATTGTTGATGTTGTTATATGTAAATTATGTTTTTAATATTGTACACCATCCTGGGATCTTCAGGAAAAGGGCAGTACAGTGGTACCTCGGGTTACATATGCTTCAGGTTACATACGCTTCAGGTTACAGACTCTGCTAACCCAGAAATATTACCTCGGGTAAAGAACCTTGCTTCAGGATGAGAACAGAAATCGTGCAGTGGCGGCGCAGTGACAGCAGGAGGCCCCATTAGTTAAAGTGGTGCTTCAGGTTAAGAACAGTTTCAGGTTAACAACGGACCTCTGGAACGAATTAAGTACTTAACCTGAGGTACCACTGTATATAAATTGAATAAATTAAAAATAAAAATAGAAGCTAGCTGACGACGCAGAGGTAAAATGCACATTTGTTTTTCTGCCCACTCTGCTTGCCCAGAAGTGAATTCCTCCAGCTGGAAAACATTCCTGATACTTGTCCTTATGCACAATTTCAACATCTGATGGGTGACGGGGGTGGTGGTTGTGTGAAACCCCCTCCCCCAGGATAACACCCAGAGAGATTCAGAAGGGGAGATGGTACACATCTAAAGATACACTGTTACATATATGACAAAGCTTAGTATCTTATCCTAGTGACGTTACTCAGAGCTGTCAAGATTTCATTGTCAAGAATCTTCTTCCAGATGGCAATTATTGTGCTTGAAACCTAAGTTCATCTGTATTTTCCATTTTATAACCGAGAAACTCAATGCACATTTTAATGTGAACCTACCTGTACCAAGACGTGTATAGCTCCGGGGAGTAGACCAATATAATGTGGCATTATATATTAATAATAGTAATTTATAACTCAGTTGAAGCGGTATTCGAACCGAAACGCAGCCATCCTTTGAAAATGTGCACTTCTCTGAACATTGCAAAGCGGTTTCCCAATCGAAAACTGAACAAAAAGGTGTGTATTAGGAGGAGGTGTGCATAATAATGTACGTATTAGTGAAAATAACATGCAAAATACCATAGGTGCCAACTCTATAGGGCTGAGGTGTTTACAGCCCCACTCCCCCAGCAATGTATGTTGGGATGGGGCTAAGGGGGCGGAGGTGATTGATAGGTGGGCAGCAGTAGCCGCCTGTCACATTTGGCCCATGAGGCCCTTCCTTGTGGAGCCAACCCAACGTTTATCATTATTACAGCCCTCCAGCACCACCAGGTTAACAATAAAAAGGTACATTTCAAACCACAGGGGCTACCTAACCAAAAGCAGACTGAAAAACAAATGTTCTCAGGGTCCACCTAAAAAACAAGGAGGTGGCCAAATGTATCTTCCATGGGAGGGAAGTTCCATATTCAGAGTCATCACCAAAAAGGCCATGTCTGTGATATTATATTATATTATAATTATATTATATTTTGATAAAATTTATACACTGCTTGATTGTAAAAAGCAAACAAACCTCAAAGTGGTTTACAAAAAGAGAGCACAAGAAAATCAATTTAAAAAATACAACCGTACTTAAAAGCATACGAAAGTTAAAATACTAAACAGATTAAAATTAATCCAACTTTCTAAGCATCAGGGTAGGCTTGTCTAGACAAGAATGTAATTTTAACAGGCACGAAAAAGAGTGCAGTGAAAGCGACCGGTTGATCTATGTTATTCTCTGTGAGTTCTGATTGGCATTAACCGATTAAAGGTCGGAATGCTGTTAATAAATAAACAAAGATGAGATTTCTTCTTTTGTGATCCAGCACTTTCCAAGGTTGCTCCAGGCGTGTGCATCTGTGTGTAAGACACAAAATGAAAAGAAAATAAACAACCTCCCCACATTTTTATAATGTGTTGCTTTGTGTCTTCCGTTTGCCACCTCTTCTATTCAAGGTTCATTTGCTTAAGCACAACCGGGACCTTTGGAGAAACAATTCCATTTGCTACTTGGAGATGTCAGCGTCTTGCATATCTATTTCCTTCTCATCTGGTTGAGCAGGGACTGATGTGTAAATCTCCACACATCCCGATTAGCCTGTGCTCCAAAATGATGGGTTCAATAGAAAGGTGACAATATTGCACGAGAAGTGGGCCTCTGTTTGCAGAGGGGCTTTTGGAGGAGTTGGCCTCAGAGCAGCACGCTCGCTTGCTCTCAGATACAAATCACACGTCAAATGCTTTAAGGGGTATATTTTCCCCGTCAAACCGCTCTCTGGAAATACTCTGAGGCAATAGGCATTTATCTCAGACTGCTACCTCCTGAAGGTACTTGCATACTGGAAAAGGCACAGAATACCAATTCTTCCAGAAAGGTGCCATTGCTCTCCAGGCTGCTGCTCTTGCTGGGGGGGTTTGGAGGAACCCACCTATGCTGTTTTCATGTGCAGTGTGGATCAAGGACAACCCAAGTTTTTTGTGAGCCCTTTGGCAATAGGGTATCAGTGACCAACCCCCTTTGCCCTGCCCCTTCCTCCTGAAGCCACACCCTCCTAAAGCCATGTTCCTACCTCTTCCTCCTGAAGCCACGCCTTCTCCTCTTTGGCCCCTCCCATTCCTCCTCCAAACTTCTTGGGCCTCCTTCCTTTTAACAGATCTTGACCAAAATTGACAACCTCTGTCTCACCAAATATTGTTTTCACCCAACATTCTGCTTCCTGCAGTGAACAGCCAGGTGATTTTTGGAAGCATATGATGAGCAGGGAGTGAAGATCCAGGCATTTCTCATGTCACCACCATATGGTGTTCCAAGCTATACTGCCGCTGCATGTGGAAGTTCTGCGCAGAGGCGGTTTTAGGGTGGCATGACTGGGAGCTGCTGAAATTTGAGAACTCAAAGTCCACCACTGTTCTGGGGCTATCTTCATTCTTGGAGGTGATATGCTTCCTCAATACCAGTTGCTGGAAACCACAGGAGGGAAGATTGCTGTTGTGCTCAGATCCTTTCAGGCTTTTCACAAGCATCTGGGTGGCCAATGTGAGAACAGGATGCTGGGATAGATGGACCATGGGCCTGATTCAGCAGGCTCTTCATATGTTCTTATATCATGGCAAATGGCTGGAAAGGCTGTTTGATGGGAGCGAGCCAACAGTAAATCACACTGTGCCCATTGGAGCCAACTCTTTATTAGCAAGAATGGGATCTGCACAGACTTGGCAGAGTCCCAGGCCTAGTGAGCACAGGGACTCATCTCTGGTAGGTCTTGCCCCCATGGATCAGTTGTTAAGACTAAAGGTCCCCATCTCCCCACAATCATTTATGTCTCCTCCCTTCCGAAGCTTTTCCTCAAGCAATCTGAGACTGTGCCTGCATGCCTGCCTTTGCTCCTCTTGCTTCATGCCTCTTCTGATTCTGGGAGACCAGGGGGGAAGGGAGCTGGTTGCAGCAGGAAGGAGAGATACCCTTGACTCTTCACTAGTCTGACTCACCTCTGTCTCTTGGCCTCTCTTCTCCCACCCTCCTGCTTCAGCTTCAGCCTCTGGTTCTGGACTCCTTCTGTCACAAACTCTCCCTGCTCACTAAGCCCTGTTACCCCTTCAGCTTCTGACACCTCCTCCTCGTCCCAGTCTTCTCCCTCTGATCACTCGTTGTTCTGCCACTAGTTCCTGGGCTCTGAGCCTTCTTCCCTTAGTGGTTCCCCAGCTGGTTCCTCCCATCATTTCTCTGCATCCAGCCAGTCCATGACACCATTTGGGGGATGTTAGAATTCTCTCTCTGTGTGTGTTTTTTAAAATCATCTGAAAAATTAGAACCAAGTTTGCAGTAAATCTGAGCCAAAGTATTTGGCCTAAACATTTTTCATCCTGTTTGTGGGATGGGATGAGAATGGCCAACAAAGATTGCAATAATCCAGGGTGGGAGTTATCAGAAAAGCATTACTTATTTCTATATGTGCATCTCTGTATATAAATTAGCAAATGCAAATGTGTGTTTCCCTCCACCCTTGTTTGGGCGATGCACCTCTTTTTCTTTTCTTTTTGGCAGTGTGCTGCTGGCCACCTCATTGACTGCTTT